GTTTCATGAAGGAATGACCTGACCAGGTGTAACCAATGACTCTAAGAAGTCAGGGACCACGCAGCCCAAGACATGGGCACTGGATTGGAAATGGAGACCACTGGTGAGTTTAACAAGAGCTGTTTTGGGGGACTAGTAAGAAGGAAAGCTTTGTTGCTGAAAGGATGCCAAGATACGGGTGGAGTTACTAGAAAGAGCTGTGAGGTCAAGGGGAAAGTTTATTTGTAGGTGGGAGATGTTTGGGTATGTTCAAACGCTGATGGGAATGATTTCATAGACCAAGGATGCAGGGGGTGGAGAGGAAGTTTGGGAGCAGACTCCTTGGATGAATGAAGGGAGGGGGTTCCAGAGCACGAGGGGCGTCTGAGTCCACATAGGAGCAAAGAAGGGAAGGCTGAGTGTATACCTAGAGATGCAGGTAGATAAGAGATGTTCTTCCAACTGCTTCTGTTTTCTCAATGAAATAAAACTCAAGATCAGCTATTGACAGTGAGTCCTGGCTGCCTGAGGAGTGAGAAGAAGGAGTCAATCGTCATCAGGATAAGTGGGAGGAGGTTTTGACTGGGGAAGCACAGCTGGCTTTTCAGGCGGTGCTGAAGTCCCACGTACGATATGTGGTCATAAATCTAAAGCGAAGCCTGGAAGCATGGTTGTGGATTTCTCTCTAGCCACATTCTGTTTCTCAGGTACAGGCATGGAGCAAGAAGAGAGACGAGTTTAAACAAAGAGGAGGTTTGCCGTGGCAGCGACAGAGGCGGAGGGGGGCCTGAGAAGGGGAGGGAGGTGTTGTAGAGATGATGGAGCGTGAGGTCAAAGTGGAGAAAGATGGTGACTGTGTGCGAGCCTAGGATTAGAGTCTCCGATGGGGCATGAGCGCTGTTTGTTGGAGGGTGTGAATTAAAGGCGATCCGTTTGTGGCCAGAAAGTCTGCTGTTTGAAACCTAGATACAGGAAGTAGTGTGGCTATTGATAAAGCTTAAGGTACGTCTTCGGAAGAGGACCGCTCATGTGTGCTGGAGAAAGTCACTCAAAGGTCACAGTCCAGGGGGAAGGAAATAGAGCAAGAAAATATAGACATATTAATTGTGGCTACTGAAAGAAAGGGAGAGAGAATGAATTCTTAACTTGAATAAGTTACATGGACTAGTGAATCTTACCCAAATACAGTGACTTTCTTAGAAGTTTTGGGGTCTACACACGGAAGTTGTTACTAATCATGAAGTGTTAACATTGAAATAAAAATTATTTTTTTAGGGAAAGCAGGTTTAAGGCTAATCTTTGTAATAATCTCAACAGTGTATGGCTCACATTGACCATTTTTTCTTGACTGTGAAAGAAGAGATGAATTTAGAACAGGATGAGAAATGATACAATTCCACAGCCTCTCTTGGCAATAATGTGAACTGCAGTGAGTGACCTTGAACTCATGTGCCATTAATAGTTGTGGGGATCGTGAATTTTTGTGGTATTTGTTCTGCCCACATAATCCAGGGGCTTTCATGAACATCTGGACACCCCACGGGGGCCTGTTAGTCATGTGAATAACATCCAGTATGTGAGTCTTTATGGAAAAATACGGGAGGCGAGTGTTGTGGACTTTCGCTCTAGGCAGACATTGCGGTAGCTTGTTAGAGAAATGGCCCCAGTGAGTCACCCTCCTTCTACAAGTCCTTTGCAATGTGACGTTGCTCCTCCTTCCATCTAGAAATGGAGTTCATTTCCCCAGGCTTTGGTCTAAACTGACTTTGTGGCTTGTTTGGACTGATAAAATATGGTAGAAGTGACATGATGTGACTTCTGAGTCTAGGACGCAGGCAGCTTTATGGCTTCTACTATTGCTTTTCTGGGACAGGGCTGCCTCCGTGTAAAGGCCAAGCTAGCCCTTTGGAGAATGCGAGCTGCATGCAGGGTGAAGCTCTGCAGACAGCCAGCACTAACAGCCAGATAGAGCCTGCCTGGGATCATCCAGCCCCAGTAAGTCACTAGCCGATGACTGCCACCTAACTGGCCCTACGTAAGACCAGAGAAGAACTGCTCTGCTGAGCTCAGCCCCAGTCCCCAATCCATGGAGCTGTGATTGTGGTTTCATGCCACTAGGTTTTGGGGTTATTACACAACAATATTGCCACGTACACAACACTAGATAGTTGATGCAACCAGTAAGAGTCATTAACAACAAGGACAAAGGGAGGGAGTGAAGTAACATTTATTGAGGGCCTCCTTGGTACTGAGCCACTCCTGAGAACATCACCCTGTTTTGCCTGACAACACCTCTCCGAGGAGGTACCATTTTCTTCCAGTGAGAAAACTGGAGGTCAAAGCTCAGTAACTGGTCCAAAGTCATGTATCTCAGGAATAATGAACTTTAGGCTAAAACATGCCCAAATCTGCTCCTTAAATATATCCATTTAACACCCACACCTCAACAAAATTTCTTCATAAATTTTGGCATATCTTTACTCTCTGAACTATTACTTATTTAATAATATTTTCTTTACATTGGCTCACTTGAATAAGTCACTGAACAAATAAGTATATTGAAAACAGAAACATTTTGTTACTAGGATGGACAGCCATGGCTAAAATATTCATCGAATGCTTTCCCCAGATGAGCTCTCTGCTGATTGCTTCGGATGAATTAATTGATTTAATCCTCACATTAACTCTATTACGTTGGAGCTACTATTGCCATCATCCCCATTTTACGGATGAGGAAATGAGGCTGGGGAGATTAAAAAGTTAGCTGTTTGGTGTCACGGAAGAAGTAAGTGGCAGAGGCGTGGTTTGTGTTCCCAGCATCCAGTGGGTAGTGACCAGGCATGCCGCTGAACATCCCACATGGCACGGGTCAGCCTCTCCACCCCCAGCAAAGAAATATCCAGCCCAAATGTCAGCAGGGTCAAGGTTAAGAAACCGGGTTTCTGCCTTTTAAATGGTAAACAGAAACAAGTATCGCTTGCCGGAAATTGAAACTCAGCAAAAACCAAACAATGCTAAAAAAATCCCTCTGGAAACTGTTGCTTGCCAAGGCTTGGAGCTTTAGGATCCCTCTTTTTGTTGAAAAAGAGATTAGCGAAACATTAGAGAGCCTGTAAAGGCTCACACCCTGCAGAGACTCTCTCCTTGGTGTGATCAGAGGATTATAAGAGACTTACAATGGGAATTAAATCTCCTTGTGTGATTCCAAGTTATTTACACCCTGTCTACCTACCAGTCGCCCCACAGTCCTCTGTTACATAGCCCATCTTTTGGGAAATGCCATGCCATATCTGGGTGGGCAAACTGTGCCCCTGGGGCCAAATCCAGTTGAGCACCTGTTTTTGTAAATAAAGTTTTATTGGAACGGAGCTGTGCCTGCTCATTTATGTATCCTGTACAGCTGCTTTTGTGCTACAAAGTCCAAGTTGCTTAGTGACAACGGAGACCATTTATCCACAAGGCCTAAAATATTTACTGTCCTGCCATTTATAGAAAGACTTTGCTGACCCCTGCCTAGAACTGTGCTAGGTAAGTAGTAGGTGCTCAGTAAATATTTGCTGAATAAATAAAGCCCTGGGCCACAGTGCTCGAGGCTAACACCCTCTTCCTCCATTTCTCTCCTCTCCCTCTGCACGGAGCTCCTTTCCCCTAGGCCCCCGCCCATTCATCCCTATGTAATTAAGTATTTGTTTGTTTGTTTCCTTATTTTTGCATTCCCATTTTGCTCAGCATGAAATGACAGCTCCATTTTTAAAACAAACACCTGTTGGCTGAGTAGTTCATCACTGTAAGCGGCTCCATTTGAGGGCTCAGCGATATAAATGGCTCTCCCTGTGGGGGATGGTGATGGACCCCCTGGGATCTCAGGAGTCGCTGCCTTTTCTCTTGTAGATGTTGGCATTCACTGCACTCCCTCGGCTCTGGCGCTAAGGGGTATATAATAGACATGGGAAGGCCTATAAAAGTGACATCTAAAACTGCCGCAGAGCTGAGTATTGATTTATTCATTACTATAAATTTTTTTGTCATTACTATGCAATTGCTCTATCTCAGGAAGAATTGATAGATGTGGTTGGAAGCTACAACCCACTGTGCAAAACTTTTTCCCCCTTCTACAATTCCCTGTAACTCTCCTAAAGAATCATTATTCCTTATTACATAGCCCTGGCATGCCACCTATTTAGATAAATGCGTGAACAAGTGTGCAGTAAATATTCATAGTGGCCCATGTGTCAACGATATATGTCACTAATTAGATAATTTAGTGGTTCAAATAAATAAATAAGAAAATAGAAGCACACCCAAGAAAACAGTGAAATAAAACACAGACTCCTTGTAGGACTCTAGGCAAATAGGATGGCTTTTCAGGCTATAGCATTATCTTATATGTTGAAGGCCAATCAAAAGGTCACAGGAGGGCTTAATGGGGCTGTGTACACGTGGAACAAAACCAGGTCTATAGCGCACCACATTTGTTTGGGTCTTCTCAGTAAGCCACGCTCACGTTACCTAAGCAAGTCTACTCTGAGGGGCCTTGGGGATTTGGGGGCCTATTGTCTCTTGCATCCCATTTGTTTTGTTGAGTTTGCTATTTATGATCCTGTTGATAACAAAGACAACAGGGCTCTGCAGGTGAGGGGGTCAAATCCTGACTGACAGGAAGAGGGTAAGGTCCTTATTCAGTTCAAGCCCCAGTGTTCTTATCTGCAGAATGGGAATAGTTATAACTTTGACGGTAATGAAGCTGGTGATGATGAAGAATACGTAAGGCAACAGGCAAGGAAGCCCTTTGCAGAGTCCAGAGTTCCAAGAAGACTTTTAAAGACTTTTTAAAATTTTAAATAAATGGTCTCAAGCAAAGTGAACTAGGCAGATAGAACAACTATTTAGAGAGTCAAGAAATTATCAGCTACTCTTTATTGGGGGCCTCCTTTATATCTAGCATTGAGCCAGAGTCTTCTTATAGGTTATGGACTAGAATCCAGGTGGGTGAAGTAAAAGATATTTCAAACATTTTGCAGATGGGGGAACTGAGGATTCAAGACATTCCGTGCAACTTGCCCAAGACCACAGACCTGGTAAGTGATGCCAGATGAGACATCTACCTCTCTCTGGCTTTATCCCTCTATCCCCTGTGTTGCAAGTGACATGCTGTGTTACCTCCAGGTTTAAATTTAGAACACTTACTTCTTTTGGTTTATAGAAATACAAGACAAGATTTCAATCTGAGTTGTCCAGAGAGGTTAACCAAACTCACAGCGATTGTCCGCTGATTGTCAGAGCTCTGGTTATGTACACGGACTTGGGTCAAACCTAGTCACTCTGATTAAGGGTCTCTGTGAAGATCTCAGGACTCTGTGTTAAACAAAAATAATTGGATCTCCTGAATCCTGAGATGTGGCTGCTTAGCTTTTGCCCTTCCCTGTGGTATGTTAGAATATGAGGGAGATGGGTTCGCTCTGTCAGACAGCTAAAGCCAAGTCTTTTAGACATGCCTAAACCAGTCGTGGCCTTATCTGGGCATCTAAATGTCTCAAATGTAGATAGGATGAATCCTGCGCATTATCAAGTAAGCAATCATATAACAAGCAAACTTACTCATATCAGCCCTAGAGCCAGCCAAATTATCTGATCAGGGTGCCACCTTTCTGGCTTGGGTTTACCTAGTCATAACTGAAAGTACTCATTAACTTATTTAGCAAATATTTAATTTGCACTTGCTGTATGTCAGTAGCCATGGGAGGCACTAGGAATGCAGAGGTGAATTAAATGTATGAGATTGTACCTATTCATGGAACCCTGGTTAAGAGCTCCTGCTGTAATGGCTGAACAATAAAAATGTAGATGGATGGGCAGATAAATATATGGATGTGTGGATAGGTGAATGGATGGATGGATTTAATAGAAAAATGGATGTGTTTTAATTATCTAGGCATCTTTTAAAATTTCCTTGCAATCCACGGGAAGGCTCACAACTATTTACTAATTATCTCTATGACTAACTTTGGCACTAGAATGAATCTCTTCAGATTCCATATTGACATATCCTACTGCAAGTTTTCTTCCTTATTATTGAAAACTGGAATTCTGGACTCTTGTCTCTAGCCTAGTTTTGTCTCTTAGCCAAGTCCTTTATGCCCTTCAACTATCATTTTGGTGGCACTTAATGGCTTGAATCAAGGTTCATCTCTTTGAATCTCCCTGGAATCCACCCAGTGACCAGTTCTGTGCCCACAGGGGTGGAGCTCTGCAGGGTGGGTAAATGAACGGGTGCTCATCAGTGAGATATTGGTGAATGGATGGGGAATGGGTAACCTTATTGTTAGTCTTTGTTCCTCCAACATCAACAGCAGTGCCTAGCTTATACCAGGTGGTTATACATTTAGTGACTAGGTAGTTAGGTGATTGAATAAGAGAGCGACTGGATGGCTGAGTGAAGAAGTGGTGTGTGATTGCATCGGTAATGGAGGGTGGGTGCATCTTGCCTGAATGAGTGGATAAATTCCTGGATTGGCTGTTGGGATGGTGGAGAAATAAATGGAGGAACAGAGGAGTAGACAAATGATTTAAATGGAGCCTATGGGTGGGTGCCTGCAGCAGTAAATGAATGACTGGGTGAATATATGATGCAGAGTTGCCTGGATAAAACTTGGGAGGATCTGGGGTAAGTGGATGCATATGTCAATGAAAGAATGGATGGTGGGATGCATGTCAGATTATAGCCCTGAGGCCTGCTGGGCACAGAGCGAACACAGGCTGATACTCACGCTCGGCCCTGATTATGGCCAAAGCAAACAATCCTCTTGGTTTAGGCAATGATACCGCTGGCTTTGGGAAGATTAAGGGCATCGCACACAGGGCATGGAAAGTCTGACTGGCTGGCCAGAGAGTGATAATGACTCGTGGTTTCCAAGCACTGTTTATAAAATAACCAAAGAGGCAATGAGTGTGTTTCTTGGGTTCCTTGAGGCCACAGTGAGGAGGGCTGTAACCTCGGCAGGGACAGCCTCCTGTGAAAGACCAGCCAGCACGAAATGCCTGACCGCCTGGAGGCTACAGGCTGCCAGTGACCAGGCGGCCTCCCCGATTTCTGTGTTTCCTTTCTCCTTCCTTCTTTTTTTTCTCTCTCTCTCTCTCTCTCACTCATTCTCCTTCCCTCCCTTCTTCCTTTCCTCTCTCCCTCCCATATTTCCCTCCTTTCTTTCTCACTACCAGGCAGGGAGGACCCAGGGCCAGGAAGCAAAGCCTTCTGGGAACTGACCCCATGCTTTGCCTTGAAACATGCAACCTCCCCACGGAGGAGGCCCGGTTAGCTTGGCCGGGATGACTTCCTCTCGGGGTCATGCACTCGTGTGTGTTCTGGGAGGGGCTGTGCTGTGATGGACTGAGTGAGGGGCTTGGACCCAGACAGTTACTATTGTCTGGTGATCTTGGACAGGTTCTTATACCCTGAAACTCTGCTTTATTCATTGAAAATAATGGGGAGAGGATGTAAAATTAAAAACACCTTGTTCCTATGGTTATTGTTCAGAATGAGAAGAAATAATGTGAAAAAATCAGCACCTGACTGACACCTAACAGGTGTCTTATCAAAGTGAGTAACTCTTTCTTTTCTTTTTTTTTTTGTTGTTGTTCATTGTTTAATATTTAGGGTACACCAGCCCATATGAGACCTGGGTATGGGGTAGGTGTCAGGTGGGCTCATTCATCTAGTCTGGAAGATGTGTGGAAAACAGTTTGGTGGTTCCACAAAAAGTTAAATATAGAATTACCATGTGATCCAATAATTCCACCCCTAAGCTTAGAATGAAAGGCAGGAATTCAAGCAGATGCTTTGGCACCCGTGTTTTAGAACAGCATTCTTCACAAGGGAAAAGGGTGGAAACAACACAAATGTCTGTCAACAGAAAAATGGATAAACAGTGTATCCGTACTATGGAATATTGTTCAGCCTTAAAAAGTAATGAAATTCTGATACACGCTGCAACATGGATGAACTGTGGAAACATTATGCTAAGTGAGATCGGCTGGGCACCAAAGGACGATTCCTGTGGGAGCCACTTACATGAGGTGAATTCATTAGAGGTTACCAGTGGCTGGGGGGGAAGGGAGACAGGAAGGTTTTGCTTAATAAGTATGGGACTTCTGTTTGGGAAGATGAGCCAGTTTTGGAGATAGATGTTGGTGATGGTTGCCCAACACTGTGACTGCTTTATGTCCCTGAACTATGGACTTAAAAATGATTAAAATGGTAAATTCTATTGTGTATATTTTACTCCAGTAAAAATATCGCCAAAGAAAAACATCTTAAAAAAGAAATGTGTGCCTGTGTGTTACAAAGGTGAAGACACCGGTGTACCCCTATCCGTGGGCTCAGGCAGCCTGGCCCAGCTAGTTAATCTCAGAATATAATTAAGCCCTTGTACCGCAGGTTGGCTGAGGATAGGAGACAGGGGTGAGCCACATTAAGTTACCCTTTCTCTCATGTTCTTATCAGCATTTCCATCTTATCGTCAATTTCACTGGCCTCGGTAAGGTAGTAGGCTATTTATTAAATATCCCTCAGACCATCCAAGCCCATGGAGGGCAGGATCTTTCCGGGGTCGAGGTGAGATTGTGTGGTCCTCTTTAGATGCCCTCGGTTTATACTCGGAGCTTCCCCCCTCATCACACTTCCATGTTGTATAGTAATGAACTGCTTGTGTGATTCTTCTTTTCTTCCCCTTAGACATTGCAGTCCGTAATTATTTAGAGATTCTAAATAAAATGTTAAAAAATGAAAGGCTAAACTTTGGTCTTTCTCAAAAAATCCCAAGAGAGGTTTTGCTCGCCGTTGAATCGCCAGCTGTTGGCACGGTGTCTGGAAGAAGAGGAGGGTCTAGCTGGGTCTCTGAGAAGCTGACCCTGATGGATGGAGGCATGATGCAGGGGCTGTGTTCAAAGGCGCTGCATGACTCTCAGATTGCAGGAAGTGTCAGGCCACCTAGACTTGGAGAGGCCAGTGGCTGGGAATTCACAACTGGTCTCTTTAGCCCAAAGACCCTGGAAATGATATAGGTGCCATTGCTTTTTGATTGGGTGCTTTCACTTCAGGTCTCAGTTTCTGCAGGTGCAAGTGTGACTGGCCTGAACTCCAGCAGACTGGACAGATGAGAACAGCAGTGGTGAAGGGGGTACTGTTAAGGCTGTTCTCACCCCTTCTCCCATCATTGCCCAGAAGCCTTACACACCACCAACCCCATGACCCGACGGACCCCAGGTATTTGGGGGTATTGCACAAGTGCCTGTGTCAGGCCAGGGAGGTCACAGAACAAAGGAAGACTGTTCTGACCTGGTCCTGGAAGGGCATACGCGGAAACCGAAGCTCTGCTGGACTCCCGCTGTGGCATAGCAAGAGCCAGAGCCTCGATTATGGGTCTTCTGAGGATGAAACTTCAGCCTTTGCTCTGGCTTTTGTCGGCTTCAGGCTCTTAAGGTAGTTTACACAAAGATTTGTATGTCTGAATTTTTTCCTGGCAGGTTCTCATTCTAACCTAGATAACACAACCCCCAAATATTTGTGGTTAGAAACCGTAAGGGATTTTCAAGTTGTCTGACATCTTCTATCCACGTAGATCACCACCTAGGATCAGTTTCAGCTCTGAGACAAAAGAAAATGGGAGGTTGGTGGGAAATTTTTCCGCGGTTCGTGCAATGTCTGCATTTAAACTCCTTCTCTGATGTCTTCAGTGTCTCTCTCAATCCCGTTCTCGATCACTCTCATTTACACACACACACATTTTGCCCTTCAAAGGGTTCTTTCAGAGTTACACAAAGGAAAATGCGGATATCTGACCACTTACCAAAAGCATCACTATTTTCTTACACGTAGAATAAAATAAATACATTAAATAAAAGTGACGTTTTGGCATTTTTTTCCCTTTGCAACCTCCTGGCCATGGTTATACCCTTTGCTTCCATAACAAGCTGGTGTCAGGTCTTCCAGAGTTGAGCAGAACAACTGTTACCACGCTGGTAAACAGAAGACTGTTTACATAAAAAATATAGATTTCCTTTAAGCACTTTGCTGAAGTCTTGA